GTTCATGGACGCTTTCTACGCGGGGGATAACATACAGTGGACCTAACACTCGCTGGGCCGCATGGCCTGCAGTGTCCCCGGCTGCGGCGCCGAGCGCCACCCTGGTATCTTGGAATGCACGTGGCCTCCTCTGCGTCAAACACAGACGACGCCATCGTAAATGGAAGCTACTCGAGTCCTTCATGCGCCAGGGTGCCATCATCATGATTCAAGAACTTCATGGCTCTGCTGTCCGGCTTCGGCTCGCCCTGCAGCGCGCCCCCTACCCGTGCGAGTTCGTCGTGTCCGAGGGCAGCTCACCTTCTGAAGGCGGCATAGCATTTCTTGCCCCACGGGCTCGTGCACTCTGCAGGCCTACCCAGTGTCCGCCAGCGATGTCAGACTCGAGCTCTTCTTCTTCGACGTTTGTGCCCACCTCGTCCTCTTCTTCCTCGTCCTCTTCTTCCTCCTCTACTACGTCTCGCCCGAGCGCAGTTGCCAGGGAGGCTGGCGATGAGAGCGTGGCCGCCTCCGATCACGCCCACGACGCTGACGACGCTTCAGGTAAGGACTACGCCATCAACAACCATCGGGTATTTTTCAACAGCAAGGCGGTGCCCGCCGGCAACTTCACCTACAAATTTGACATACTTGTCTCCGGCCGTGCGGCCATGCTCACCTGCGCGGACATCTCCAAGGGCATCGCCGCCAAGTTCCTCAACGTGCACAATTACAATTTGGACGAATCGCACTTCAGCGTCACCGCCGCCAAGTTGGGCGAAGCGCACGCATGGGCACATCAGGAGTCCCACGAAGAGCATCACCGCTACTTTGTCGCCATCGGCGACTTCAACATATCGGATCAGCCAGTCTGCTCCTACGACACGCCCACTGCCACGTGGTCGGCTGCCACGCCACACACCAGAGCTGATCGCAATGCCAACGCTTGGAGACAACTGTTGCGGACTATGACAGAAATCTCCACTGGACAGCCGACGCGGTTCTCTAAGGCTACGCGCACGACGTCTGCGATCGACAAGGTCTTCATTTCCACCGATGAGCACGCCCTGCTGCACAATGACATATCCTATGAGATTCACTGGGAGGCCGCTGCCCTTTCCGACGCTCGTCTCAGTGACCATGCTCTCGTCGTCCTCCGGCTCATGGAAACCACGGTCAAGCCCCTCGGCGAGCGCGCAATACCGTCTTTCATCTTCAAGATGCCGGGCTATCGGCACCATTACGAGACCCTGTACAACCTCTCCTCGATCCAGTACATGGGAGTTGAAGGCCGATGGAGAGCTACGAAGATTCTTATGCGGGAGGCCGCTCGCCTTACCCGCAAGGACGACATCTCCGACTTCGCCCGGCAGGGCCGCCTCATCATTGCCCGGGCTATCTCCCGAGCGGTCTGGCAGAACAGCATCCCTACTGCCGAGCTCCTGATCGCCACCGCGACCTTGGGCAAGGAGCAGCTGCTGATCCATGACACCACGGTGGTCCTGCAGGACCCGCGGGCGTTTGCGAATCTATCCCGCCGCCTCCACCCAGAGGAGGCCGACAAACGTCAAGCGATGGCCCGGGCCCAGGCTAATCGAAGTTCCCGGAGATCAGATCAGGACTTTTGGAAAAAGCAACAACGGGCCATTGAAAGACGCGCCCAACTATGGTCCTCTTTTCGCCCCCACCTGATTCTGAAAGGTATCCAGATTCATGCCGAAGGCTCCCAGGAACCTGGGATAGCCCGATCTCCTGCGGCTATGGCCCGCGCTCTTCAGGAACACTGGAAGCCCATCTTCACAGGATCACCCGTGGACGAGGAGGCGGTCAAGGCGCACCTGAGCGAGCACCTCCCTCGCTTCGACCCCGCCGACCTGCCCGCCCCCACGGAACACCATCTGAGGCGAGCTTCAGAGCGTGCCCGCCCGTCGGCACCCGGTCCAGACCAGCTGCCCTACGCTGCGTGGGCGGCCACCCCTGATGCTCTCTCTACACTGCGCGCTGTGATGTTACAGATGTTCTCGATTGGCTACGCTCCGTTTGGTTTCAACTTTTCGGATTTTTGTTTCCTCCCCAAGGGGGCCGAAGTGTCGGATGACATTGATTGTCTTCGGGACGCCGGCTGTGTCCGCCCCCTGAGTTTGAAAAATGCGGATTCTAAGATAGTGGCTTCAGCTGTCAATCGAGCTTTGACACCCTTGGTCAAGGAACGCACAGATCCCGCGCACCAGGGTTTCGTCCCCGGACGCTAGTTTACGTCCAACATAGTCGCCTTCGACCTTGAAGCACGTCGAGCTTCGCACTTCCCGGAGCGCCGGCCTATGTTTATATCATTCGACGTGCGCGCCGCATTTCCCAGCCTCTCCCAGGTCTTCCTGTTCCTCTCTCTTCCTTGCTCATGGCCTCCCCCAGGGTTTCATGAATGTGATGCGTGCTTTGTGCGAGCTCCCGCTAGGATTCGCGAGGCTCGGGCCCACCAGGGAGCCCTTTTGCCTCATCAGCTCTGGGGTCTTACAGGGATGCCCGCTGAGCGGATCTCTCTGGGCACTCGCGTTCGACGCCCCGCTTCGTCACCTCCGCGCGTTGCTTCCCATTGACTCCCTTGCAGCGGCTTGTGCTGACGACATTGGAGCGCTGCTAGCGGAGGCGCGTTTGCTCGGCCGTATTGTTGCGCCCTTCAGGGCCATGCAGTCGCTTGCCAATCTCGCGCCCCAGGTGAAAAAATGCAACCTTGTACCATTGCGGGGGCCGTGCTCACCCCAGGTCGAGGGCGAGGCTCGCGATCTTTTCGCATCCCTCGCCCCTGAATGGTCTGCGTTTGCTATTTGCGGAGCCTGCAAGTACCTAGGTGTCTACATTGGACCCGCTGCCACCCTCGCCATGCAGTGGCGGGCTGCTGCCCAGAAATGGTGGACGCGCGTTCAGCTCCAGGCTGCCGCCGGCGCTGCGATGGCAATCAATGTATACACATACGTCACATCAAAGATGCCTGTGCTGTCATATCTCGCTCAGTTTTTTGCAGTCGATCGCAACATTTTGCAATGCGAGATTTTTGCGTTGCACAAGGTCTGCCGACTACCCCCAGATTCCTTGAAGCTGGCCGATTTCCACTCCCTCCGCTCCTAGGGGAAAGCGGGGCTCCCCTCCATCGTCACCTACAGCGCCGCCGCGGCTTGGTGGTTCTGCTCTTTCACGATTGACGGAACGTGGCGTCACCGGCTAGATGCGCTCACGGAGGCCGCACATTTGCACGGCCCCCTAACCTGTTGGCTCCATGGATTCTTGAGTCCGCCATTCTGGCAACAGCAACGCAGCATCGGTGAGATGTATTCTTCGATGGCTAGCGGATGCCCCATCCGGTTTTGTCCACGTAGGCAGACTTCGACAGCGTGTTTGCGCGCCGCCCAAAGGGCCGGCCGCGAGGAGGCCGCCCAAGCTGCCCGTGACGGTCGGCGCCCTAGACTTCAGCGAGCTGTGGTTCGCTCTCTGTCTTCGTCCATGTTCCCCGACTCACCACCCACCAAACCACCCCAACCCAACCCGAAGGCTCAGATTTACCCTCGATTTCTAGTGGGGGGGGTCCGGGAACATCGAAAAAACACATATGGAGCCCATACCCCCCCCAACCCGAAATTCGGGTCTTCGGGTTGGGTTGGGGTGGTCTGGTAGGTAGTCACCGACACCTTCGCTTCCACGATCGCCAAGCGTTTAAAAGTCCTGGATCCCTCATACGAGGTCCCTGCCGATGTAGAGCTTCGCTGGCAGGCACTGCGGCGAGAGCTCGCGCCGCTATCCCCGGCCCATCAGTGCTGCGTGGTGAAGACACTCTGCGCGGGCTGGATCACGTCCCACAGAATGCACGTCCTGAGGCCTCGGTTTTGCCACCTCGGTTGCTCGGCACGGGACTCGATGTGCCATGATTGGCAGCGTCCTCGTTTAACTCATTTTGCCGCCCTCCCCCGTGCCTTCCGTGCCCTCGCTTACTCGTCAGGTGGGGACTGGGCTCCGAAGAGGACCACGCCTCCCCAGACGATTCTCGCCCGGCTGTCATCCGTAGGATGATCATCGCATTCTATCTCTTTCACGCCGCGAAGGTCGAGCTGGACTCTCTGCCGGAACGTCGTAGAGAGCGCACCCGTTGTTCCTACGACTTCGTGCACAGATGCCTGCTGGCGGCACGCCAGAGCGCCGAGCTATGAAATGCGGACGGGCTGGTGTTGGGTCGGCGAATCTGATAAATTAGGGGGGATGGTGTCTTCTGGCCACAGAACAAAACCGACCACTTTCGTCCCAAAGTGGTCGGTTTCCGTTTTCCGTATCTGCTGCCTTTTTGGTTTCAAGTCCCCCTCCCTCCTCTCCCTCTTCTCCTTGCAGTCATAGACATTTAAGCCATAGGGCCGAAATTGTCTCCGAATTGCTGTGCCAGCTCCCGCACGGGGCCAAGTGTAAGAACTGCATTGCCATTTTTGGCTCAATCTTCGGAATATGGTGGGGATTGGGCTTGTTTGGGGGGCTTGGGCGGGTCTTTCATATCAGAACTTGTCGTGGCACGTCCGTGCTCCCGCCTTTGGCCGTTGAGCACAGGCACGCCTCTCTCTTTCATGTTTCCCCGCGGTCCACTGCTCGACCGCGGCGAGGCCTCGCCTCTTGTAAAGTGTGCGCGCCGGCCTCTCTTGGGACGGATCGGCGCGCCTCCAGCTACGTCTCCTCCTCCTCCTCCTCCTCCTCATCCTCCCTCCTCCTCCTCCTCCTCTCTCCTCCTCCTCCTCCTCCTCTCCCTCCTCCTCCTCCTCCTCCTCTCCCTCCTCCTCCCTCCTCCTCCTCCTCTCTCCTCCTCCTCCTCCTCCTCGCCTCTTCCCCCTCCTCCTCCCTCCCCTCCTCCTCCCTCCTCCTCCACCTCCTCCTTCTCCTCCTTCACCTCCTCCTCCTCCACCTCTCCCTCCTCCTCCTGCTCCTCCTCCTCTTCTTCCTCCTCCTCGTCCTCCTCCTCCGCCTCCTCGTCTTCGTCCTCCTCCTCCTCCTCCTCCTCCTCCTCCTCCTCCTCAAGGGGTTCGCAGCCATTCTGGTCCAAGACCTACAGCCCCCGTTCCGAGGTTATCGCGTACACCCAGAAGCGGAAGCGCCCGCGCTTCCTGACCCGACTGAACGCAATGATCGCCAACATGCTTTATTTCGCTCCTCGGTCTGTACCTGAAATCAACGCTGACGCTTGGGGTGTGGCCAAGCTCTTCGTCGACGTGCGCCAGCACCAGCGCGTCCAGCAGCAACAACAGCAACAACAGCTACAGCAGCAACAGCAACAGCAATAGGCTGAGCAGAGGAGCCGAGGATGTCGGCGGGCCAGCACACATCAGACTGCCACGAGTCGCTGGGCGTGTGCGCCGGCGACCGCCTCTCGCTCGCGGAGCTGCAGGCCGCCTTCGTGCGGCAGGCTCGGGCGGCACACGCCGAGGGCCCTGCCGGCGAGGCGGCCTTCCGCAGGGCCGCGCAGGCCTTTCAGCTGCTCGCCGCCTCCCGGCGCGGTGGCGAGGGCGCTGGCCTCCGCGCCGTGGGGCATCCCAGCCGGGCGCCGCCAGGGCCGTTCCTCAGGCTTCAAGCAGTGGCGAAGCGTCCCGGCTCGCCTGCAGGCCTGCCAGAGGATGTTCTAGGAGCCTTTGTGTGCCTGCAACGGCATGTCCTCAGAGCATTTCTGGCTGGGGCCGTCTTATTTTAGAGCATGGGGCTCATGTTCTAAGAGCACAGTGTTTGTTTTTCGAACACTTTGGGGTTCCAAGACACTTTCGTGGTAGGCCTATAAGTATGCCGGGACGGTCGGCCCCTGCTCAATCAGGCGCCTGCATGGGCTGCTGAGCCGGCTGCCGCCCGAGCAGCGCAGGATGGCGATCGCGCAGCGGCTCTCCCAGGCGCAGAGGCTGCGCCTGGAGAGGTGGATGCTCGCCAAGAGGTCGCGCGGGCCCGCGGTGCCAAGGGCCGGCGCGGCTGCGGCGGGAGGCCGGGCGGCAGCACGCGGCCCCTCCGCTGGCCCGGGGGCCCCGCGGGGGCGCCCCGTGACCCAGCGGAGCCTCTGCAGGCTCGTGTTGAGTGGGGCCTGCCCCTCTGCAGGAGGAATCTTCCAGAGCGGTCGGAAAATAGTCTGGGGACGATTTTTGTTCGACTACTTTTGGCCACTCTGGGGGCATTGTGGGGGTATGTTTTTTTCTGTTCGTCTAGAATCCGCCTGCAGGGGGACGAAACTCGACTGGAGGCTCGTGGCGCGCAGCGGCCGTGTGGGCTTCCGGCCCGTGATGCACCTGTGCGGCGGCCTCTACGCGCAGGCCGCCTTCAGCTTCAGCGTGGAGCTCGGGCTGCGGGGGCTGGCGGCGCTGATGGCCATGAGGGCGCGGTGCTCACCACCCACTAAACCACCCCAACCCAACCCGAAGCCCTCAATTTGCCCTCCATTTCCAGTGGTGGGGGGGGGGGTCGGGGAACGTTGAAAAAACACATGGAACCCGTACCGCCCCCAACCCGAAATTGGGTTCAAATTCGGGTCTTCGGGTCGGGTTGGGGTGGTCTGGTAGGTAGTCAGGTGCCAGGCGGCGTGCGCGCCCGGGCAGGCCGCGGCAGGCTCCGTGGAGCAGCGCGTGCGCCGGGCCGTCCAGGAGGCCCAGCTCGGCTGCGGCGCCTCCCTCAAGTTCTACTTCAAGACCCGCCTCAGGATCTCGAGCAGTGGCGAGGCGTCCTGGCGCGCCTGTCGGCCTGCCGAACAGTGTTCCAAGAGCTTGTCGTGGTTTCCACGAGATGCTCTTAGAACGTGTCTGGCCGGGACGCTCGTGTTTCAGCGCATCGGGCCTCTGTTCGAAGGACGTCGATGTCGTCCCGAGAACATGTTTGGGCTCTGGGAACATGCCGTGGCAGGCCCACAGGAATGCCGGGACGGTCGTTCTCTGCTCCAGGATCGGTGGAGCGCGCGAGGTGTGCACTCCGATGCAGGCGGACCTCTCGGCGGCGCTGCGGCAGTGGCGCCGGCTCCGCGCCCGCTCGGCCGCCCCCGTCGCCCCGAGGGGCGGCATGCCGGCCGAGGCGCCCAGGGCGAGGCCCCGCGGGGGGCATCGGCTCCGCGCCTGCTCGGCCGCCCCCGCCGCCCCGAGGGGCGGCATGCTGGCCGGGCCGCCCAGGGCGAGGCCCTCGCGGAAGCGGGCCGCGCCCGCGGCCTGCGGGTGCCTCTGGTGAGAGGCCGGCCTGCCTGGGCGCCTGCCCCGGGCCTGCCGGGATGCCACCGGCGGGCCTCGCAGGCCCCAGGGCCGGCGCTGGGAAGAGGCGCTCCGCCGCTCAGAGGGGGCCGTCTTCGCCGACATCGGCGCGCGGGCTGCCTGCCTGGGCCTGCCTGGGGCCCGCCGGGATGCCACCGGCGGGTCTCACAGGCCCCAGGGCCGGGCCGGCGCTGGGAAGAGGCGCTCCGCCGCTCAGAGGAGGCCGTCTTCGCCGACCTCGGCGCGCGGGCTGCCCGCGCAATTGGTCGCGCGCAGGCGCCCGTCGTCTGCACTGCAGCAGCGCCGCGCTGGCGGCGCGAGCCACCGCGCGAGGTCGCCACGTCGGCTCGCGCGAGACGGACTCCAGCGAGCCCAGACCCCCTCGAGTAATGACGGGAGGTTTTTCACAATTTTCAGCCTCTGGGGGCCCTCACCGGGCCTCGGGAGCGTCAAAAAACGACTCAGGATGACAAGCCGGTCCTGGGGAAGGGGTCGAGAACTCTGGGGTCGACGTAATGAAAAATCCATTATGTCCGGGGTCTGGGAGCGGAGCTGGCCCTTCCGCGCTCGCCCGGGCGCCTCGGGCTCGCAGCCAGCGCTGCGGCATGGGGCCCAGATGCGCGATGGCTTACCAGCCTGGAGCATCTATCCCTGTCCCTATGCTGGGCACCTCCTTATCACGATGCCAATCTCAGGGATTCCCTTATTTTTTGAGGGCGACTCCCCACGATCTTCATCGCCTTTTGGCGTGCCAGTCGTAGGGATAGGGGTACGCTCGAGGCTGGTTCAAACGCCCTGGCTTTGTCAGCGCGGGCTCCCCGGAAGCCCCGACCCCTTCCCCGGGACCGGCTCGTCTTCCCGAGCCGTTTCTGCTGGCGGTCTCGGGGCCGGCCGCGGGCCCCAGGAGGCCGAGGGCGGCGCGAATCGCCTCCGTCCTGGCCTCTGTTCCAGGCGTCGGGCCTCTGGGCGCCCCTGCGCGTGCGCCTCCGGGCTCGCCGCCGGCGCTGCGGGCAGCAGGGGGCCGCTCGCGGGGCCTCCGTGGCCAGATCGAGGGGGGGGGGGCGTGAGAAGGAGGTCACCACCTACCAGACCACCCCAACCCAGCCCGAAGGCCTCAATTTGCCCTCCATTTCCAGTGGGGGGGGGTCGGGGAACGTCGAAAAAACACATGGAACCCGTACCCCCCCCAACCCGAAATTCAGGTCAAATTCGGGTCTTCGGGTTGGGTTGGGGTGGTTTGGTAGGTAGTCAGGAGGAGGTCGTCTTGGAAGGCGGCGGGGCTTCTCAGAAGCCCGCCAGGCCTCTGAGGAGTCTTCCGTGCCGTCGGGGGGGGGGAACCCCTCAGAAGGCAGGAGGGCTTGCGAGCCTTCTGAGGAGGCCCGCCCCCTCTCACTTCCCCCCGGGGCTGGCCACCGATGGGAAGGAGGGGGGACGGAGGAGGAAGGAGACGTGTAGAAGATAAGGGCAGACGGAGGACGAGCCCAGGAGAAAAGAAGGACGGATAATGACACGAAGGAGACGGAGATTGATGACGAGGAAGAGGAGGAGGCCAGGAAGGCCGAGCAGCAGCAGCGGGACCAAGCCTGCATGGGCGTCGCCACCCCTGGCCCCGCGTCTGCTGCCGCGTTCAGGAGGGAGAGGAGAAGTTAGAGGGAGAGGGAGGAGGAGGGAGGAGAGGGAGGAGGAGGGAGGAGAGGGAGGAGAGGGAGGAGAGGGAGGAGGAGGGAGAAGAGGGAGGAGGAGGGAGGAGAGGGAGGAGGGGAAGTCAGAGGGAGAGGGAGGAGGGCCGAGGGCGAGGAGCCGAGAAGGTATCCACCCTGCGGGCGCCGCAGCGCGAGGCCGGCCCAGTAGGATATATTTAACCACCCTGCCGCGTCGTCCAGTCGGCGCCGCAGGCCAACAGCTTATCGCGGGACTGATCTCATGAGCTATATGCGGACGCACAAGAACAAGGGCAGTGGGAAGGGTCGAGGAAGAGGATATTCATCACGAAGAGGAGGCGGAAATGGCCAACAGCTTACCGTCGGGGCCCTGAAGAAGGAACCCTTTTCGTTGGGGAGGGGCTCCGCGTTCCTCAAGTGCTTCGCAGCTTGCCTCGGGTTTTCCTTATGTCTTCGATCGGAAATCGAAGCTTAATTCATGGAAAAAAGGGGCCTCGTTCCTTATTCAGGGTTCCTTAGTCAACGCCCCGACTTTATCGCGGGACTAATCTCATGAGCTATGCGGACGCGCAAAGGCAAGAGCAGCAGGAAGAGTCGAGGAAGAGGATGCTCATTACGAAGAGGAGGCGGAAACGGACGAGCGCGATCCAGAAAATGCAGGACTTGGTGGACGGTGCAGAGGAGGAGGAGGAGGAGGAGGAGCAGGAGGAGGAGGCAGGCAGGCAGGCAGGCAGGCAGGCAGGCAGGCAGGCAGGCAGGCACGCAGGCAGGCAGGCAGGCAGGCAGGCAGGCAGGCAGGGAGGGAGGGAGGGAGGGAGGGATGGAGGGAGGAGGAGGAGGAGGAGAAGGAGGGAGGAGGAGGGGGGGGGGAGGGGCAGGTGGCTTGGGGACTTTGCCGGATCCTTCGCTTCGGTCACGGCCGCCTTCAGAGCCAACCTCGACAGGCTGTGGACTTTGCACGCGGAAGGTGGGCTCCCCAAGCAGGTGATGCAGGCATTGGCGCGCTTGGCCGCGCAGTCGAAGCCGCAGCACATCTTGCGCGCCGCCATCTCCGCCGAGCTAGCCCAGGCCTACGACGCTGTGGTCGAACACTTCTGGGCTCGACTGCTCGGCGAAACTGGCAGGGCAGTTTCGACGCCCACCGCAGGGTGCAGCTACACCTGCCACTGCGTCACGGCAGCCTCAGCTCGGCATCACCCCAACATACTTATACTGTATGTGCGTCGCCCCCCCAGGGGCGACGCGCGCACCGAGAAATCTTATAGCATATGCGTCGCGGCGTGCGCTTTCTGTCCACACCGCTCGGGAAACGATATACTACAAGATGGGTATACTATATGCTTGGGTCGGACGCGCGCCTCCAAGGAGGACATATAGTATTAGTATGTCTCTGTGCGTCCCATCAGCGTTGGCGGGGTGGAGGTGCGTGCCTATGCTGCCTTCCTTGCCAGCACTCCCGTCGCCTTCAGCGAGGTGATGAGCACGGATCGGGTTGACACCGTCGCGGAGCTCCGGCACACGTGTTCCCGCGGCACGTGGCAGGCAGGAACAGCGCGGCGACCAGTGCTGACGTTTCCAGATCGTTTCCGCCAGCGTTTGGGAGCACCTTTCCGCCAGCGCCGAGGAGAACAGTTCCGCCAGCGCTTAGGATACAGCCGGGGCGCTCCAGAAGGAACCCTTTTCATGGGGGAGGGGCTCGGCGTTCCTTGATTGTTTTGCAGTTTGCCTTGGGTTTTCCTCAGGGTTTCCATGGGAGATCGAAGCTTATCTCATGGGAGAAAGGGGCCTCGTTCCTTGTTTAGGGTTCCTTAGGTCAAGGCCCCGACCGTAACATCCACCTCCCGCGCGGCCCCAGCACCAGCAAGGGCCCCAAGACGGGGTCGGGCCCGAGCTGCCCCGCGCGCGGCCTCCCGCTGGGCCCCACGCGCCCCTCCCCATCCCCTCTCTTCTCCGTGTGCCCTCGCCCTCCTCTCCCCCCCCCCCTCCGCCGTCGCTGTCGTCGTCGTCGTCGGCGTCGTCGTCTTCGTCGCTCCGCCTCGTCGTCACTGCGGCGGTCCCCGCGGTCGGCGTCCTCGGTGTCGTCGTCGTGGTCGGCTTGTCGCCGCCGCCGTCGTCATCGTCGTCGCCGCCGTAGCCGTCGCCGTCGCCGGCGGCGTCAGGGGGCAGCCTTTTGCTTTCCTTCGGGTTTGCGCGCCCCCCCAGGGGCGGCGTCTGCGGCAGCGGCCCCTGCAGTCGCGCGGCGGACTTTCAGCCCACACGCTGAAGCTTGGTGGCCATGTGTTCCAAAGTGGGACACGTGCCGGGGTTGCGAATTCAGGAGAAGGAGGAGGAGGAGGAGGAGGAGGAGGAGGAGGAGGAGGAGGAGGAGGAGGAGGAGGAGGAGGAGGAAAGGGAGGAGGAGGAGGAGGAGGAGGAAAGGGAGGAGGAGGAGGAGGAGGAGGAGGAGAAGGAAAATGAGGAGGAGGAGGAGGAGGAGGGGGGAGGAGGTGGAGGAGGAGCGACGAGGAGCGACGAGGAGCGACGAGGAGCGGCGAGGAGCGGCGAGGAGCGGCCAGGGGCGCCCCCCGCGCGCAGGCGCGCTCCGTCCTCGCCCCCGTGGCGCAGGGCGACCGGCGCACCGGAGCGGCGGCCCGCGCAGCGCACCGTGCCGCCGCCCGCAGTCGGCGTCGGCGTCGCAGTCGTCGTCGTCGTCGTCGTCGTCGTCGTCGTCGTCGTCGTCGTCGTCGTCGTCGGTGGCGTCGGCCTCGGCCTCGGCCTCGGCGGCGTCGTCGTCGGCGTCGGCGTCGGCGTCGGCTTCGTCTTCGTTCGTCGTCGTCGCTCGTCGTCTTCGTTCGTCGTCGTCGCTCGTCGTCGTCGTTCGTCGTCGTCGTTCGGCGTCGCCGTTCGCCGTCGCCGTTCGTCGTCTTCGGCGTTGTCGTCGGCGTCGTCGTCGTCAGCGTCGTCGTCGTCGCCGTTCGTCGTCGCCGTTCGTCGGCGTCGTCGTCGTCGTTCCTCGTCGCCGTTTGTCATCGCCGTTCGGCGTCGCCGTTCGTCGGCGTCGTCGTCGGCGTCGTCGTCGTCAGCGTCGTCGTCATCGCCGTTCGCCGTCGCCGTTCATCGGCGTCGTCGCCGTCGGCGTCGGCTTCGTCGTCGTCGTTCGTCGTCGTGGTTCGTCGTCTTCGTTCGTCGTCGTCGCCGTTCTTCGTCGCCGTTCGTCGTCGCCCTTCTTCGTCGTCGTCGTCGGCGTCGTCGTCGGTGTCGTCGTCGGCGTCGTCGCCGTCGTCGGCGTTTGCGTCGTCGTCGGCGTCGGTTTAATCGTCGTCGTTTGTCGTCGTCGTCGTTCGTCGTCGCGCTTCGTCGTCGTCGTGTTTCGGCCCCGTTCGTCGGCGTCGTTCGTCGTCGCCGTTCGTCGTCGTCGGCGTCGTCGTCAGCGTCGTCGTCGGCGTCGTGTCGTCGTCGTCGTCGTCGTCGTCGTCGGCGTCGTCGTCGTCGGCGTCGGTGGCGTCATCTCTGGAGTCGTCGTCGTCGTCGTCGTCGTCGTCGTCGTCGTCGTCTTCTGCGTCTGTCATCGTCGGCGTCGTCGTCGTCGGCGTCGGCGTCGTCGTCGTCGTCGTCGCAGTCGTCGTCGCCGTTTGCCGTCGCCGTTCGTCGTCATCGGCGTCGTCGTCGTCGGCGTCGTCATCGACGTCGCCGTCGTCGTCGTCGTCGTCCTCGTCGTCGACGTCGGCGTTGTCGTGGCAGCCGTCGTCGTCGGCGTCGGCGTCGGCGTCGTCGTCGTCGTCGTCGGTGGCGGCGTCATCGTCGTCGTCGGTGGCGTCGGCGTCGTCGTCGTCGTCGGCGTCGTCGTCGGCTTCGTCGGCGTCGTCGGCGTCGTTGGCGTCATCGTCGTCGCTCGTCGTCGTCGTTCGTCATCGTCGTCGCCGTTCGTTGTCGCCGTCTATCGTCATCGGCGTCGCAGTCGCCGGCGTCGGCGTCGTCGGCGTCGTCGTCGTCGTTCGTCGTCGTCGTCGCCGTCGTGGTTCGTCGTCTCCGTTCGTCGTCGTCGTTGCCGTTCGTCGTCGTCGTCTCCGTCGTCGCCGTCGCTGGCGTCGGCGTCGTCGTCCTTGTTGTCGGCGTCGTCGTCGGCGTCGTCGTCGGCGTGGGCATCAGCGTCGACGTCGTCGGCGTCGTCGTCGTCGGCGTCGTCGTCGTCGGCGTCGTCGTCGTCGGCGTCGACGTTGTCGTTGTTGTCAACGTCGGCGTCGTCGTCGTCGGTGTCGTCCGCATCGTCGCCGTCGTTGTCGCAGTCGTCGTCGCCGTTAATCGTCGCCGTTTGTCGTCGTCGGCGTCGGCGTTGGCGTCGGCGTTGGCGTCGTCGTCGGCATCGGCGTCGACGTCGTCGCGGTCGTCGTCGTTCGTC